AACATGAGGATATATTGTTTTTTGTTTTTTTAACTGTTTTAAAATAATCAAATCATAAAAAAATAGTCTTTATTCGACAACGTGACGTGACGTCATTGGAATTTCTGCGTTTCTTTACTCACATCCAGGCTAGGCAGCTCACTTCAGCTCACTCTCTCGGTCGCACATCCGGGATTTTCCGTGACGCCGCGCGCCGGCTGGCGAGAAAACAATCCAATACTGAGATGTTTACATCCTGGTTAACATCCGCTTATATTACGCAGCGCTGTTCACAGTCAGAAGGCTTTGACCTGTATATCGCGTTGTTTTTCAGAGGTTTTCAGATGATCTGACAGTCATTTTCATGCGAATATATTGTATTGAAAACCGGTATTCGGCCAAAATTTCGATTTCACGGCCAAGCAACTTTCATACGGCCAAATTTCTGGCCAAATATATTTGGCCGGAGACATGATTTTTTTCACGGCCAAACAGATTTCTATATGGCCAGATTTCTTGAATTTGGCCGGAAAAACAGCCAGATGGCAACCCTGGAAATTACCAGTTCGGCCGAACGATAGCATTTTTCACTACCGGTTCGCTTAAACCAGGCCAAACCGGTGGAATTCCACCACTGTTCTGAGAAGTAAAATATCAATGGGGAAGCGAGATTCATTTAACAATTGTGTTCCTAACTTATCAACGGTGGTGATGCACCAAGAAAGGTTGTAAAATGGGCCTCAATTCTCTTAACAATGTAGCAATGGAACTTTTGGGTTGTAAGTCGAGGACTACCTGTAACGTGCTTTTGAATGTTACGTTTGTTGTTATGGTGCCTCCAGAAGGTTGTGGTTTGCCGGCCCTGCCCTGTGACTCATTCCTGGATGCCTGCAAGACACGTAGCCTGGACATGTTGTGTTGTATCCCAGCTGTTGCTGGGGAAGTTGGAAAGTCACACATTTGGCACCTCCGCAAGAGGCAGAGGCAGACAGGCTGATGGCACGGGGAGGTTAAGAGTTCTGGCTTGGCTCCTTCTGGTACAGGTAGTCTTCAACTTACCAGTTTGCTTAGAGACCATTCAAAGTTACAACAGCACAGGGAAATAATGTGTCTTACAGCCGTTTTTCACACTTTGTTGTGGTTAGCCAGCAGCAGGTGCGGACGGCTAAGGAGAGCGAGGACTCAGATGAGGGGCCAGGGCCATTGGGGAGTGGACTGCTGCCTTCAGAGATTGTGGGGGCTGGCAGCAGCGATGAGGAGGTTCCCGAGGAGCCTGTGCCAAGTGCGTGCAGGATTGCTAGTAGGAAAGAGCAGTTATAACAACACAGGCGACTCAGGAGTAAGGCTGCAAAGTAATGGCCCCTCCTTCAAGAAGATAAAAGCCAGCTGCGAAGAGAACGTTCTTTGCAGGAAGCAAAGACATTTTGAAACTCAGCCTTGGTGGACATTGCAGTATCTTAAGTTGGTATTTGAAGACTCTTGCGTTGTAAAATATTTCTTCTCTGTTATTCTTGGCAGCCTTGCACAGTTTTGGCGAGGCTTGTGCTTATCTAAGTTAATTAGTTTGCTGCAGCCTTTTAACCAGAATCATTAAAAGGTTTCTGTTTCCTTTAGTTCGTGTTTGTTTTATTGGACAAGGGTTTGGGTCAGAACACACTTACAACCATTGCAACATCCTCATGGTTACGTGATTTACATTCGGATGCTTGATGACCGGTTCATGTTTATGACAGTATGACAGTCGCAATGTCCTGGGATCCAATGACCATTTTTCACACTTACGCCCATTGCAGCTTCCTCCCCGCTCCTCTTCGGTAACTTTTTGACAAGCCAGGGGGAAGCCAAATTCACTTAACAACTACGTTGCTAACTTAGCAGCTGCAGCGATTCACTTAACAATGGTTGCAAGGAAGGAAGGTTGCAAAACAAGCCAAACTCACTCAACGTCTCACTTAGCCAGGGAAATTCAGAACTCCATTTGTGGATGTAAGTTGAGGACTGCCTGTTCTGTCTCTTTTCCAGTGGACTACACCACCTATCTTCCCCTGCCTGGTCGCCAGAGGGCCGAGGAGATGCATTTTTTTGCTCCAACCCGCCATTCGGAGAAAATCCTTCCCTGCTTGGCTAAAATTCAGGTCGAGCCCTTTAAATAATAAAGGCAACGTTAGTATTAGTTAGAAGACCAATTATTAATTTTATAGCTCTTCCTACCGCGAAGGAGAAAGTGAAGATCCCTGGGAGAATTTGCAGGCTGGACGGGGGAGCATTTATTGCCACTCGATCCCGACTGCCTTTTTAATTGCTTTTAAACATTTTATGTTCCTTCTCTTGGTGGGAGTCCCCAGCGGTTGGTCTGGCTGAAAGAGCCGGTTTAATCTGGAGACAGACCCCCTCCCCGCCAAAAATCCAGCCTTTCCTAGCTTTCCTTGACCGGCTGGACTACAGGTGCCCTCATTCCTAGACGGGGTGGACAGAGCAGAGCTCTGCAGGTAGTAAGGGATGAGTTAAGAAAACGTGAAAAAGCAGGATCCGAGCTATTTCAAACCCAGTGAACTGCATTCACGCAACACGCTAATCGTAATTACTTTTTTATTTCCTGAATCAATTCAAACGGGCCCAGTTAGTGGTCTGATTTATTGAGCTGAGCTAGAAATTATTTTTGCTAGATTAACCAGGTACCTAATTAAGCAGTCATGCTTTAGGAAATGACCTCAGAGGTCATCTAGCTCAACCCTCTAATCCAAAATTTCTCAGCCTGCATAACTTCAAGATGGCTTGAACTTCAGCTTTTTAGCTTGGAAACTCTGGGAGGTGATGTCTAGCTATCTTGACATTGGCCAGGTTGAGAAACACTGTCCAGGTAATCCTCGACTTACGACCATTCGCTTAATGACCATTCAAAATTACGATCGGGTGGGATTCTACTTGGTCGGACTGGTTCTATAGAACCGGTTGTTACAATTCTGTGCAGTTTGGAGAACTGGTAAATCGCGCCACTGGCTGGCCCTGCCACTCCCTGCCCTGCCCCGCCCCGCCCACTCACTCCTTACCTGGCATGCACGCCATCAAACTTGCCTGCATTTGGTAAGTTGCTATTTTTCTTTTTTCTTTTCCCCGACCATCAGCTGTTCTGCTGTGCCAGGAGATTTAGATTAGCTAGAAAGCAGGAAATCATTGGATTTCTTGCTTTCTAGCTAATCTAAAAGCAGAGCTGAACCTTCCTTAGGCCTGAAGCTTCTATATTTCAGTGCAGACTCAGGTAGCAGATTGCAGAAAGATAGATCTCTGAGTGAACATGTGATTCTGTGAGCAACTCAATCTGCCGGCCTGCTTTGCCTGATTTTGGGTAAAAGTTTCTTCAATATGAGGAAATATGATAAGGGCATTACATATTTAATAATTCATAGAACTACTGCAGGAAGATTGGCATACGCACCACAATGGAAAAGTAAAGACACTCCGAACGAATTTGAAATAATTAGGAAAATTTGGGTGTGTGCAGAAATGGACAAATTGACAAAGGAATTAAAAAATAAGGACGAATTGGACTATTATAAAATATGGGACAAGTTCTACGGTTGGTTAGAGAAGAGGAAGGACCAAGAGAATAGGAATGACCAAATGTATATGTGTATATATAATATATATAGAATGAAAATATGTACTATTATTAGTGGATTTAGCAATGTAACGACAAAGATGGATGTTAGGAGAGGATTGTACCATGTTCAATATTTTTAATGTATTTTTTGTTTTTGTTTGTTTGTTGTTTATTGTTTAATAAAGATTAAAAATTTTTTAAAAAACCAATGTTAGCGTGAATTGGGTTAATATGAATGGAATTAAAATTCATTTAGATACTAGCTCGATACCCATGCTTCGCTGTGAAACGTATGTGGTCGGGCTTAGTTTTTGGGGAGGAAAATAAGGGCGGGAAAATTCTGCCTCAGCCTACTAGAATCCATCGGTATTCATCTGGCTAGTGTCCTGTCAGTGTGTAAGAGAGTTGAGGGCTGTTTGGAAACTGAAACAGTATTTGCTGTGTGAGCAAGGAGAGAGCAAGGAGCCTGGGTGTGGCCTAGCTCAACTGTTGTGTAATAAAGCTGCTTGGTGCTGTGAAACTGAATCTGAAATTCCTCTCCTCTGCTTGTGTTTTGCCTTTGGAACAGATTTCTTTTCAGGTGGGGAGGGAGAGTAGAACACTTTAGCATCAGAGAATAATAATAATAATAATAATAATAATAATAATAATAATAATAATAATAATAATAATAATAATAATAATA